AGATAACGATGATAAAAACGATTACTGATAAATGTTTTCTCTAAACCATAAACATTTTTCTAGTTTGCATGAAAATTATCACCGCTAAAACTACCATCCTATCACCAACACCAACACGAATACCACCACAATCACCGATTCTCCTAAAAACCCGCATCATTTTCACAATTCTTGATGCACATGTTAAATGAAAGAAAGAAAGATTTAAAAAAGTGTAATGATTGTATAAAAATTATTAATAAATTAATTCAATATGTGTATATATATATATATATATATATATATATAATACACACATATATACATGTATAGTAAGTTAACTATCTCGATTGTAGTTGGTTTGTTCGTTGTTAATGTTCTCGTATTATTATTCTAATCGTCGATTATATTTCTCGATCGATTAATTATTTTATTTTTTACTGTTGCATCTCTCTTATCGTTGTATTATTATTATTATTATTTTTATTATTATTATTATTATTTTTCGTAGTCTTTGTCGTCGTCGTCGTCATCGTCACTTGCATTAAAATGACTATAGGATCATTGAAAGACAAATCGAGCCTTTTAGTTTCATCATATTTTCAGCAATACATTTCATTATTCGTAATTCTAATGTTAAAATTCATTTTAATTGACATTAGATTGAAAAAAAAAAAATGTTCATTTCAATATATTATTCATATCCAACTTTCGTGCTTCCTCATCTGTAAATCTTATGCGCGTAAATAATAATTATTGATGATGATGATGATGATGATGATTAATGCTAATAATGGTAATAATAATAATATCTAATAATAATAATAATGATCGTGATCTAGATACTTTGAAAATAACCGAGATAATCCTCAATAAATCGTCGAAACGTGTTTTTATGTATGTAAATCCTAAATGCAGTTTGAGGGTCACGCTGATACTCATAAAAATATGAAAAAAAAACACGTTGATAAAAGAAAACAAAAAAAAAAGGAAGATAAGAGAACGAAAGGAAAAATTTTTGAAAGAAATTTAGACATTCTAATGTTTTTTCTATCAAAAAACTAAAAGATTTAATATATTTATAGGCTTTTCACTTTTGCATTGAAAATCTGTCCACGAAACGTTTTCACGCTTTTGTAGTAAATAGTAATAATAAGTAATTCAAGAAAAAAAAAAGAAAATAAAGCAAGAAAGTATCCTAGGCAGACGAATCTCAGAAAATACGAATGAAGGGATAAAAAAATAAAAAGTAAAAAGTGAAAAACAAGAAACATAAGAAAAGAAAAAAGAAGGAGAAAGATGGAACAGAACCGGCACCAATATTCCATAATAATAATAATAATAATAATAATAATAATAATAATATAATCATAATATTAATAATAATTTATTTATGTTTGCTACTTCCTTAAAGCACACATGATGCAACGGATTAATCGGAATGAAGAAAAATAAATTATAAAAATATATCAATCGTATGAAATGGATAAAATTAACCCGCGTGTGTTCGTAGACGATTAATCCGCTTCTTCTCATATATATATATATATTAAAATATATAAATATATATAATGATCTAAGAAAAGATATTTGCACAAAAGAATGATATCTATCATTTTTATCTTGTGTAAATCTTGATAAGTAAAAACACATCTTATATTTAATACTAAGCATCTGTCTTGTTGGTCTTTGTGTAAATAGTTAATGATGATAATGATAATATTAATAATCATCATAGTAAAATAGGATTAACAATAAAAATAATAATAAAACAGTAATATTATTCCTTTGTATCGGTAACAGATATAATAATTATTTTTAAAATGTTTATGGCACACCTCTTGTATAGAAAAATCGTTCGAAAATGAAGAAGAGGTGAAAGAAGAGAATGATCATTTTTCTTTCGTTATTATCGATTAGATATAACATCATTCAAAAGCACGCGAAAAATGTCAGAACATCCTCTTCAGAAGTACATATTCCTTTTTTGGAACGCACGTGATAGCTATTTAAATATTTGCAAGAAATTCTTTTGATTTTTGGCAAAATTCTTTTTACAAGTTCGAAAAAAGAAACAAAAAAGATAAAAAAAGAAAGAGAGAATCTCTCGAATTTTATGTTTCAATTTATCTAGATGAAAAACTTTAGAAATTTAATGACGCCACTCAATGAATACTTGCTATTTGTTTCTTCCTTTTCACGTTGATATATAACAATTTATTATTAATTATTAATTTTTATTTAATATTTTTTATGTTATGTGTTACAACAAGAGTAAGATCTCATGTTCGATTTTAAATGCTCAAAAAATATCTACTATTATTATTACTCATATCCTTACTTTTCCTCTTTTTTTTTTTTTTCTTAAATCTTTAAAAATATAACGCGTTAGTTTTTATACTGCGCGATTCTATGTGGTCCACTACCTTCCCCCTACCCTTCTGTTGCTTTTTTCTCTTAACTCAAAAAATATGAAAAATACGAAATGACCGGACTGTTTTCTTATTCGGAAATCGCACAGGAATAGATTGTTGATTGAAATTATAATTACGAATGAAGTAATAGAATCTATGGAGAATAGAATTAATTGCATTACTAATTTCTTCTTCGTTTTCCTTAATTGGAAATGAAAAGAATTAAGGAATTGGTTCTCCTCGATTTATCCATCGTTAGGAGTAATGGAATTATTTAATCATTGTCGTACTGGTATTCCATAATGTACTGAACAACCATGTAATTGAATCCTTAAATGTTGATGAAATAAATATAAAAAAGGCTGTGCAGTTAAGTTATTTTTGTGTATTCAAATAAATATCGGTAATGTTCTTCTTGTGCTACGCTAACAACGAATTCCAGTCCGTTATCATTTCGTATTTTGATTAGAACTTTTTAATTAAGTACTTAAGAGCTTATACTTATATAACAGTTTTTTGTTTTCTTATTTTTACTTATGGAATATACTAATAGAATAATAATTTTTATAATGAAATATTTCGTATAACGAGACGAAATTTGTCACTAACAA